GTCGTTAGGGCCACAGGCCTTTTTTAATATAGATACTGTGACCCATCTGAAAGGCATACCCAAGGAAGGTCAGGAGTCAGAGGCTGACAGATAGGCAGATAGGAGCAGAACCTGGAGGGACAAAGGTGGAGTGATGCCTGAGGTCAGAAGTCCAGGGGTTTGAGACCAAGAGAGACCAGACCAAGAGAGGCTGAGCATGCATGAGGCAGCCGATCAGCTCAATTCTCTGAGGACCACTGAATGTGTCAAGTTGCTCTGGGCCCCCGCCTGCCCTCAGGGACTCAAAGACCAGGCTGGGAGGCAGATCAGCCCAGCTGATCAGGCCTCTGGGAAGGCTGCAGGTGAGGTGGTCCACAGCCCTGCTGGGGAAGAGGACAGAGGGCAAAGCCATTCCTTCTGGTGGGGGACACTGAGGATAGGCCTGAGTACCACCGGGGTAGCATCTCCCGCCTCGGGGCTCTGGCTGTCAGGAGCACCTTAGAGGAGATGCCAGCTTGGGTGCTAGTCAGTGGAGGCTGAAAAGGTTGGATGCAGGATTTCTGACCGCAGCAGAGGCTGCTCTGTCCGGGGTGACACAACAAGGGTATGACCTGGGTCTCCAGAGCCTTCCTGGGACTCAGTAATAGTAACAGGATTTATGAGGTTTTCAGAGCACTCATCCACCTGTTTCCTGGTGATCCTCACTCAGGGAGGGGGGACAGAAAGTGTTAGTCCTGTTCATATTTTAGAGCAGGCACAGATGGGGCAGCAAGTAAGCTTAGGTCACACGGCGAGTTATTGATGACTGGAGCCTTGGTCTCAACTCCTGGACAAGCACTAGCAAGGAAGCATGGATTTGTTGGGTGATAGGATGCTAATGCCATTCACTCATTCACTCATTCATTGATTCATTCAATCAGTAAGTATTTATTAAGGGCTTACTACTCCGTGCCAGCACTGTGCTAGGTTCTAGGGATAGAGCAAAACCCATGATGCAGTCCTCTTGGAGCTGATAGTCTAGTGGGGGAGGACTGACATTAAACTGAGTATCACAAACAGTTCATTCCCATGGTGGTTAGTTGAGCTCCATGGGGGTTGGAGGGGTCTGTCCCACCTGAGGGGTCAGGGGAGGCTTCTTGAGGAAGAGGTGTTTTTGTAGGAGCCAGTGAAGAAGGACAGTGTTCCAGGCGGAGACACCACTCCCAAAATTAGTGTTTCTTTCATTGTCACCTCGCAAGCAGAAAACTATGGAGGGACACTGGCTCCACCAGGCCTGCTCGGATGTGCCGAGGGCCAGATGCCTCACAAGCCGCCAAGGTGGTGTGAGAACTAGGTGGGGGGTCAGGAGCCTTCAGACCCATTCTCAGGGAAAGAGGGGACAGAACCCAGGCCCTCAGGGACCCTCAGGGACGTGGAGAAAAGCCACAGGCCACAGGAACAGACTTGGAGTGGGGACGCTGGCATTTCTGGGAAGCAGTGGTAGGCAGGGCCAGGCCATGCAGCTTGTCCCAGGAGCAGTGGGGAGCTGTGAAGAGTTGCAGGTGGGGGACAGATGGATCTAGTTGTTGTGTTTTACTACATGCATTTCAGCTGCTGCCCTTTGGAGGCGGAAGGGGCCCCAGTCACTGGTCACCAGAGCCAGCAAAGGCCTCTCGTGCTATAGACCAGCTTCCTGGCCTGGTGGTGGGGAAGGTGGGGGAGGTGGGGGAGGTGGGCCAGGCAGCCAGCCAGTGCCTCACAGGATTCCTCTAACTCCTGGCAGGTGGACAGGGTGGCCCTGCACTGGGCCGCAGGTGCAGGGCACGAACAAGCTGTGCGGCTGCTCCTGGAGCATGAGGCTGCTGTGGACGATGAGGATGCGGTACGGGACCCCTATGGAGGCGTGTCTGTGTGTGCATGTCTGTCTGTCTGTCTGTCTGTCTGTCTCAGGGTGGGGAAGCTCACTCTGGATCTATGAGCAGCGGCCATTGCCAAGGTTACCGCTGATATGCAGATGCGCAGGTGCAGATGGGCAGGGAGTCTAAGTCTTTAGAGGCTTTGACATTGCAGTGGTTCCCATTTACCCCTTGTCCAGTCATAGAGATCTCTCCATCTTCAAGGGCCTTTCAATGCTTAGAGAGCCTTTTCAGTTCCTCCTAATATCATGTGGGCAAGGAGAGATATGGGCAGATAACTGAGTGGATTAGTAAAGTCACCAGAAGGCAGGTCTCTCTTGCTGTGCCACAGGGCCCTGTCCTGTCTAATCCTTTAACCAACAATTTGCACAAAAACTAGCAAATTGGCAAGCAGCACATTGCTGAGCACTGAAAAGTAGCAGGAGCTACAAAATTAGCTCAACAGGTTTGTGGAAGGGGCTGCATCTGACAATGACATTTGACAGGGATACATTTAAGAGTCTAAATTTAAATATTGCCCTGGCTGGTGTGGCTCGGTTGAGCATTCGACCCATGTAACCGAAGGTCACTGGTTCATGCCCAGGTTCTGGACTCGATCCCCAGTAGGGGGCGTTCAAGAGGCAGTTGATTGATGTTTCTATCTCTCCCTCTCCCTTCCTCTCTCTAAAAAATCAATAAAAAACATGTTTTTAAAAAACTGTTTTGGGAAAGAGTATATTCTGAGATTGGCCCCCTCCAAATTGTTTGTGTTAAAATGGTCTCTCTTTATGAAATGATGGTGACAGTAGATGGCAGCTGTTTTATTCAGCAACCTCCCCTACCCTGAAAGTTTGCAATAGTATATCAGTCTCTATTTTTTAAAATGTCCTGGACTTTAAATTCCTAAAGTTGGGCGCTCCTTGGCCTGGGTGGCACTTACGGTCTCTTACGGTTGTGTGACTTTGCAAAGCAGCCACACCTCCTCACATTCTCCTCCCCTCCTCCCGTGTCCTCTCCCCTAGTTTGGGATGAATGCACTTCTCCTGTCTGCCTGGTTTGGCCACTTACAGATTCTTCAGATCCTGGTCAACTCAGGGGCCAAGATCCACTGTGAGAACAAGGTAAGGCCTCAACTGGCAGCCCGCGGGACCCTACTGCCCCTGCCCCCTCTGTCCCCTGACCCAACTGCACAGGTGTGCCCCTGGCCACTTACAGATTCTTCAGATCCTGGTCAACTCGGGGGCCAAGATCCACTGTGAGAACAAGGTAAGGCCTCAACTGGCAGCCTGCGGGACCCCACTGCCCCTGCCCCCTGACCCAACTGCACAGGTGTGCCCGACCTCTGACACCTGCCCTATCGCTGCTCCCTTTGGTCCCACATACATGCGTCTGCCTGCCCCAGTTTGCCTCCTGAAAACCCAGCTGAGCTCAACCCTGTGAAACTGGGACCCTCGCTGCTCCCACTGGCGCTTGGAGAAGGGCCAGAGGTGCCTCTTCCATCAACATTGAACCCTCTTTCTTCTGATCCCCTCATCCTTTACCACTCTAGATGCTATGACAGTCCCCAGTTGTCTGACCAGCCTCTTCATTCACAGAAGCGGAATACGAATAACACCCTCAGAGGGTGGTAGGAAGGTTGAATGAGAGGGAGGTGGGGACCCTGCCTCCCTTGTGCTCAGGGTGGCGGGGTAGGAGAAAGCACTGGTTACCAAACTCTGGGATCTTTGGGCAAGTTACTCTACCCTGAATCTCAGTTTTCCCCTTGGAAATGGGGCTGCTGGTACCCACCTCCGAGCTGTGGGAGAAGCACGTGCAGTGCTGTGCATATATTATCTGGGGCAGTGTCAGGGAGCCCAGCAGTCCCTCGCTGTCACTGGTGTGCGCTGTGGTTTGAAGGAGTAGGGCCCAGCCAGGTAGAGTGCCTGGAACCCCTGCACAGTGGTTCTAAAGAAAATGGGGCAGTGTCAGGGAGCCCAGCAGTCCCTCGCTGTCACTGGTGTGCGCTGTGGTTTGAAGGAGTAGGGCCCAGCCAGGTAGAGTGCCTGGAACCCCTGCACAGTGGTTCTAAAAAAAAAAAAAAGGAAACATCTTGGCCACATGCTGTCAGCCAGGGCTTCTCAACTTCAGGGGCCCAGGGATTTGGATGGGAAAAGAACATTTTATTTCACTTCTGTCAGACGTCTGCTTGAGATTTTAGCATTTCTTTCAATGATGGGTGAATGCAGGGGTGGTCTCTTGAGGCCAAGGCTGGAAAGTCAGATGATAGTGTGTCCACCACATTCTATTGCTTAAAGCCCGTCACAGGGCCAGCTTAGGTTCGGGGATGAGAGAGCTGGCTTCCCCCTGAGAAGAGCAGTACAGCCCCCCACTTAGGGTGTTGCCAAGGGGGGGAAGAGTTGTAGCAGCCATCTTTGCAAACAGTCCACCAGTCTTCCTTTCAATCCCTTGTTCAAGGTCCTCCCCAAAGGTACTCATCTCACTGTGAGATGAGCTGTGGCCCGGGTCAGAGGCCATCAGTACCTTGCCAGTCATTGGTGACATTTCAAGTTTTACTAAACTACAGATGGCATTCAAATTTCATCAGTTTTGTTTTAAAACTTAATATTCTACAGTGCACTTAGTCATCTTGTCTCCCTCAAGTCATTGGTGACATTTCAAGTTTTACTAAACTACAGACGGCATTCAAATTTCATCAGTTTTTTTTTAAAATCTTAATATTCTACAGTGCACTTAGTCGTCTTGTCTCCCTCGTCTCCTCTAATCCTGTGACAATTTCTCAATCTTTCCTTGTTTTTCACAACTTTGACACTTTTGAAGAGCACTGGTCAATTTCGTAGAACTAAACTACAGATGGCATTCAAATTTCATCAGTTTTGTTTTAAAACTTAATATTCTACAGTGCACTTAGTCATCTTGTCTCCCTCATCTCCTCTAATCCTGTGACAATTTCTCAATCTTTCCTTGTTTTTCACAACTTTGACACTTTTGAAGAGCACTGGTCAAGTATTTCGTAGAAAGTCCTTCATTTTGGCTTGTCTGATGATTAGATTGGGGTGACAGAATTTTGGGAAGGAGACCACAGAGGTCAAGTTCCTTTCTCATCTCCTGCTATCAGGGGGCAGATGACACCACCATGATTGGTCACTGGCAATGTTACGTTGATCCAATTCTGCCACCAGTTCCTATGTGTGTGGTTCTTCCATGCCACCAAGTAATTAACTCAATTCTCCACAGACACTGACCAGGGGTCCCACCAAATTAACTCAATTCTGACACCACCTACCAGGAGACAGCATCATATCCACAGGCTGAGGGCTGAGCCCTGCAAGACTGCCCCACTTCAGACGCCACCCCAAGTCCAGCCTGTTATTTGGGCTCCCCACGACTCCCTCCCCGGGTTTGAATAATTTGCTAGAGCAGCTCTCAGAACTCAGGAAACCCATTTACTTACTAGATTACTGGTTTATTACAAGGGATATTAAAGGATATGAATCACTAGCCAGATGAAGAGATATATAATGTTAACGTAAGAAACATTCAAACCTGTGAAGAATTTTTGTGAGTTTATTTGAGCCAAACTGTGACAATTGCCACGAAGCAGGATCTCAGTGGATTGAGATAATGCTGCCGAGAATGGCACTTTTGCACTTTGTTTTATACACTACAATCAAAGGAGGAGATGTAAGTGGGTTACATGAAATCCATTGGTGATAGATTAGGGAGGTGGGAGAAAGCAAAGCTGGGAAACCTCTGGGATTGGATAAAAAGTAAAATGATAGACACATGCTTCTTTTACAAGGTGGGCACAGGCTAGTTAGCAGTCAACAATTAGCAGGAGAACAGTAACAGTGAGGGACTCTGTGGTCTCCTCCTGGTGCATTGGTTGTGCCCTAAGAGGTCTGGAAAAAGGGAAGTTACCCTGACATTCCAAACGTATGTTATCTTAGATGCAAAAAGACAATAGGCTCAGTTAAGGTCAAAGTTGATCTTTGTCAGGGAAGATACAGGCCTAGGACATGACTACCCATCATAAACGGCTTTTTATTTTAAAAAGCTTTCATTTCAGACCATCCTTTGTGGTTGCTTTAGGTCTCTGAGTTTGCAAGGTCACCACGCAGGCCTTCCCTGAGCTTGTCAGGTTAGTGTGTGCCCCCTTTTCATCCATAACAGGGTCAGGTCCCGAACAAAGGAGCGTCTTGTCCTCGTGGAGTGTGGGGCCCAGCACACGGATGCGTTGTGGTTCACCAACTGAAAGCTCTCCGAACCCTCTCCTTTTGGGTCTTTGTGGAGCTTCGTTACGTAGACATGAGTGAGGCAATCCTTGGCCATTGGTGCTTGACTCAGCCTTTGGTCCTCTCCATCCCTGCATGTCAGGGACAAAGTTTCAACCTTCTAATCAAGGTTGGTTCCCCAGGCAACCAGGCCCCAACCTGACGTTACCTAGGGTTTTTTTGAGTTTTTTTTTTTTTTACAGTTACCTCATTAACATAATAAAAGACACCTTTAATGCTTTCACCACTTAGGAAATTTCAAAGGTTTTAGGAGCTTTGTTCAAGGAAGAGGGATAAAGACCAAATATATATTTCCAATTATAAACCACAATATCACTCTTCATCAGTTAGTTAAAGAGGTTCGGGGATGAGAGAGCTGGCTTCCCCCTGAGAAGAGCAGTACAGCCCCCCACTTAGGGTGTTGCCAAGGGGGGGAAGAGTTGTAGCAGCCATCTTTGCAAACAGTCCACCAGTCTTCCTTTCAATCCCTTGTTCAAGGTCCTCCCCAAAGGTACTCATCTCACTGTGAGATGAGCTGTGGCCCGGGTCAGAGGCCATCAGTACCTTGCCAGTCATTGGTGACATTTCAAGTTTTACTAAACTACAGATGGCATTCAAATTTCATCAGTTTTGTTTTAAAACTTAATATTCTACAGTGCACTTAGTCATCTTGTCTCCCTCATCTCCTCTAATCCTGTGACAATTTCTCAATCTTTCCTTGTTTTTCACAACTTTGACACTTTTGAAGAGCACTGGTCAAGTATTTCGTAGAAAGTCCTTCATTTTGGCTTGTCTGATGATTAGATTGGGGTGACAGAATTTTGGGAAGGAGACCACAGAGGTCAAGTTCCTTTCTCATCTCCTGCTATCAGGGGGCAGATGACACCACCATGATTGGTCACTGGCAATGTTACGTTGATCCAATTCTGCCACCAGTTCCTATGTGTGTGGTTCTTCCATGCCACCAAGTAATTAACTCAATTCTCCACAGACACTGACCAGGGGTCCCACCAAATTAACTCAATTCTGACACCACCTACCAGGAGACAGCATCATATCCACAGGCTGAGGGCTGAGCCCTGCAAGACTGCCCCACTTCAGACGCCACCCCAAGTCCAGCCTGTTATTTGGGCTCCCCACGACTCCCTCCCCGGGTTTGAATAATTTGCTAGAGCAGCTCTCAGAACTCAGGAAACCCATTTACTTACTAGATTACTGGTTTATTACAAGGGATATTAAAGGATATGAATCACTAGCCAGATGAAGAGATATATAATGTTAACGTAAGAAACATTCAAACCTGTGAAGAATTTTTGTGAGTTTATTTGAGCCAAACTGTGACAATTGCCACGAAGCAGGATCTCAGTGGATTGAGATAATGCTGCCGAGAATGGCACTTTTGCACTTTGTTTTATACACTACAATCAAAGGAGGAGATGTAAGTGGGTTACATGAAATCCATTGGTGATAGATTAGGGAGGTGGGAGAAAGCAAAGCTGGGAAACCTCTGGGATTGGATAAAAAGTAAAATGATAGACACATGCTTCTTTTACAAGGTGGGCACAGGCTAGTTAGCAGTCAACAATTAGCAGGAGAACAGTAACAGTGAGGGACTCTGTGGTCTCCTCCTGGTGCATTGGTTGTGCCCTAAGAGGTCTGGAAAAAGGGAAGTTACCCTGACATTCCAAACGTATGTTATCTTAGATGCAAAAAGACAATAGGCTCAGTTAAGGTCAAAGTTGATCTTTGTCAGGGAAGATACAGGCCTAGGACATGACTACCCATCATAAACGGCTTTTTATTTTAAAAAGCTTTCATTTCAGACCATCCTTTGTGGTTGCTTTAGGTCTCTGAGTTTGCAAGGTCACCACGCAGGCCTTCCCTGAGCTTGTCAGGTTAGTGTGTGCCCCCTTTTCATCCATAACAGGGTCAGGTCCCGAACAAAGGAGCGTCTTGTCCTCGTGGAGTGTGGGGCCCAGCACACGGATGCGTTGTGGTTCACCAACTGAAAGCTCTCCGAACCCTCTCCTTTTGGGTCTTTGTGGAGCTTCGTTACGTAGACATGAGTGAGGCAATCCTTGGCCATTGGTGCTTGACTCAACCTTTGGTCCTCTCCATCCCTGCATGTCAGGGACAAAGTTTCAACCTTCTAATCAAGGTTGGTTCCCCAGGCAACCAGGCCCCAACCTGACGTTACCTAGGGTTTTTTTTTTTTTTACAGTTACTTCATTAACATAATAAAAGACACCTTTAACGCTTTCACCACTTAGAAAATTTCAAAGGTTTTAGGAGCTCTGTTCAAGGAAGAGGGATAAAGACCAAATATATATTTCCAATTATAAACCACAATATCACTCTTCATCAGTTAAAGTAGAGACGGCCAGGTTTCTCCACTGTAATGTTAGCATTTTCCCCTTTCCATAGTCTATTGTTGGAAACTCTTTGTGGTTTTAATTTGCATTTCAATAACAACTAATGATGTCAGATATCTTTTTATGTGCTTATTTGCCTTCCCTATACTTTGATGTCCAAATTATTTTATTGTTGTGTTGTTTAATTTCTCATTGATGAGTTTTTAGAGTTCTTGATAAATTTTGGATGCATTTAAAAATAAATTATAGACAGTGTACTTCCTATTATAATATTTTTTTAAAAAGAATAAAAAATAAAAATAAAAAAAGATGTAAGACATTGTTCTATTGATTTTTATGACCCGTTGATGGTTGCAATCTATTTGAAAAGCAGTGCTTTAAACACTCTCGCCGCAATGGGAGGCCAGGGTAGAGGCTCTGGGCTGTCAACACAGCATTTGCAAACCTCCCTCACTGACGTTGCTTGTGGGGCCAGGAGACCTCCTTCCTCACAGTGTGTGAGAAGGGTCTCCGTTCCAGACTGCAGGGACCACCCTGGGCTTGTTTCAGGACGGCCTAACCTTACTGCACTGCGCAGCCCAGAAAGGCCACGTGCCGGTACTGGCGTTCATCATGGAAGACCTGGAGGACGTGGCCCTGGACCGTGCTGACAAGGTGAGGGTGGCATCCAGCCTGTCCTTTCCATTGGGCCCGGGGCTCCTAGGGCCACTCGTGCCCATTCCTCAGGTGTGTCCTTTGAGCTATGGCTGGTGCAGACTGGACCCCGCCTCAGGGAGCTGTGGGACTAGAAGGGACATTAGGGCACAAATGAGCAAGACACAGCAGAAATATGGTTAGTTCCGTCAGAGAGGCTCTGATAAGGACTAGACATGTTAGAGAGGGAAGCCACTGCTTTCTGCTTCCTGGAGGAGGTGGCATTTGGTAGATGAACTGAATTCTGTCAATAAGATTGGAAAGCAGGGGGCCGTTCCAAACGGAGGAGAGAGCATCCTAGAGAGTTAGAGGTGGAAAGGGCCCTTTGTGTGTGAGATCAGGTGGGTCAGAATATTGGGAGTGAGGGCCAGAGGGCTGGGGTCCCTCATGAAGATCTCCACCCCCAACCTCAGGACTCTGTCCCTTACTCAGTAGGCAGCCGGGAGCCAAAGGAGGGTGTCAGTTGGGGAGGGACCCCCTAGTGGGGTCTTGTTGGGAAGTTGGGTGTGTGGGACCAGGAGAGGGGAGCGTGTCTGGGTCAGGAGAAGCCACTGCAAGCCCGGCGTGGTTGGGGAAATAGAGCCCGGGGGACAGAGCTTAAAAGTTCACTCTCTTCTCCTCCCGTCAGCTGGGAAGGACAGCATTTCACCTGGCGGCTGCACACGGGCAGCTGGAGGCTCTGGACTTCCTGGTGGGCTCTGGCTGTGACCACAGTGTCAAAGACAAGGTACTGTGACCGCAGGTCCCAGGTGCTGGGCTCCAGAGGGGTGGGCGCTAGCAGCTCGTCTGGGCCTACTTCTGCCTCTAACCTGCTGGAGGGGCAGGAGCCCAAAGACCAGAGTGTGTCCGATGTCCATCCAGCAGGCGTTTCTTGGGCACACTCTCTGGGCCAACTCTGCTACAGGTGAGGGGCACAGAGATGCCCGAGACAGTTTCTTACTCAAGGAACACAGTGCCACAGTCCTAGTAAAGAGCTATGATCTAATATGGGGAGTCAGGATGGCAAATCGGATTGGTTGGCAGTGCTGCCCGGGATGGGTATGAGCGGACTGTGATTCCATTGGGAACATCTGTTGTTGGGGGTGTGGGAAGAGTTAGAGGGATGGTAGCCACCCTCCTGTGGTCATTTGCTTTCTTTGTGGTTTAGTAAGCTACAGTGTTGCTACTTCATCACTGTCATGTTGCTACTGTTATGAATCGTCATGTAAATATCTGATATGCAGGATGGATTTTCATTGTTACACATTGAACATCATTAAAGCACAGTGATTAATCACAAAAACAATATGTAATTATATGTGTGTTTTCCGACGGTCTTAGGCGACCCCTGTGAAAGGGTCATTCGACCCCCAAAGGGGTCGAAACCCACAGGTTGAGAACCGCTGCATTAGGCAAATATGTTGCAGCAGATTCTAAACAATGCTTCTAACAAAGAAATGAACTCCATTTTTAATCCTCTGATTAACGTGCTTGGTCAGAATAGGAGTCCTGTTTCTATGCTAGGGGCCAGAGAGCTCACAGACAAATATATCGCAGGGTTTTAGAACTGGAAGGCATCTTCATCGGGGGCCAGTTCAACCTTCTCACTTCATAGATGTGGAAACTGAGAGCCAGGGAGGGGACTGCTTTAGCCTGGGTCACACAGCGAGGCCAAGGCCAAGCTGGGTTTGGAGCTGGCATCCTGATGCCTAGCTCTGTGCTTCCTCCTCTCACTGGGCTGCGCCCTGGGGCACTGAGCCCTCAGGTCTGCACTGCATTCATCTGTCTGCAGTGGGGTCCTGAGACTCCGATTAGGCTGCTTTCCTTCATTTTGGAAACATGGCTGGAAATGGCTGTGTTCTGTGCCCGGCACTGAGCCAGGAAGCAGGATTACAGAGAGGGCGAAAGGACAGCCCCTGCCAGGACACATTACTCAGGAGGCAAGAAGATTGCACTCAGGGCCCGGGAGAGCAAGAGCACCAAAACCAGAGAACGAGAAAAGCCCAGCTTTTTAAAATATATATATATTTTTGTTGATTTCAGAGAGGAAGGGAGAGGGAGAGAGAGATAGAAACACAATGATGAGACAGATGTTTCATCATTGATTGGCTGCCTCCTGCACACCCCTATTAGGGATCAGTCCGCAACCCAGGGCATATGCCCTGACCAGAAATAGAACCGTGACCTCCTGGTTCATAGGTCAGTACTCAACCACTGAGCTATGCTGGCCCGACTAGCCCAGCTTTGATGAACTTGCTCAGAAGCCTGCTATCAGAAATTCTAGAAAGAAGCATTTAAAATTGCACACCCCTGTGAAGTCTTGAATGCTCAGACGAGGAATATGTTCATTTTGTATTTCATCTGGGGAGGGCAGCAGAGAGAGCTTTTCAAGGCTCTGGGCTACTGAAGGTCTGACTCCTGCTATCCCACCTGTCAGACAACACAATGACATAACGGTGACAACACACGTTATGCCACAGGTGCTGTGATGGTAGAGAGGCTTTGAGCATCCAGAGGAAGTGATTAATTCCACTGGGTACACAGAGGTGGGGAGGTTGGGCATCCCCGCTGCAGAGGGCAGAGGTCACTGGGCCCCAGGCCACGCCTCTATCGCCTGGCTCTCCTGCCCCTGAGCCCCCTGTCCTGCCCAGACAGAATTCAAGTGCCCTTTTAGGGGTCCCTGCCACCTGCGGCTTCAAAGGGCAGGATGTGGATATTTATAGCCCAGAAGGAAGAAGAAAGCCCTGCCCTGCTAGCTGGGGGCACATGTCAGTGCGTTTGCATTTCTTTGATCACGGAGACTTCACGCTATGGCCACATTCCCAGCCTGATCCTTGTTGCTGTGGAGAGCTGACTAGGCCGCTAAATGCACATTTGCAGAGAGGTGGGAGAGAAGCAGAACAAAGCTGTTGGGATTTTTAAAACTTGTTTTTTTGTTTATTAATATGATATAACTGTCATCATAAAAGAAATGTAAATGTTTCACCTTTGATCCCATAAGATAGTTATAGCTGTTTTATGTACCTGTGGATCTACGATGGGGGCGCGGGGCATGTTTTTAACTCTTTTAAGTACTGCTTTGGCTTTGGTATATGTTCACATCCTCCTCGGGCCCTTTAAAGATCTGTGCTAAGTGGGAATGTCCACCCCTCATGAAGGCAGTGAGACAGGCCAGCGCGAGGAAGGAGCCTGAGTGAGGAGGCCCCTCTGACTGGTTCAGCGAGAGGTGTCCCGGGGGCCTTTGGGGTGTGAGGAAAGGCCAAGGCTGCATCTTCCCTTCTGGAGCTTCTGTGGTCCCTCAGGGGACCTTGCCCTGGTCTTCCATCTGTGGTTCCTCTTTAGGGACATACTTATCTCTGGCTGCTCCTCTTTGCTGGGGCCCTGCACCCTCCTTCCAGCTGTCCTTCGTAGTGAGATCCCTTTAAGGATAACCCCAAGCAGGCTGCCCTCGTGGGACTTCTAATACAAAGAACATGTGCCTTCTGCCCCACCGCATGGAGCCTCTGGGTTCTGTCACGGTCACCGTTGGACTTCTCACATGTGAGGCGACTGCCAGGCCTCTGGCTCTCAAGTGCCAGGAGGCAAATGTGAAGCTCCCATCACATTATTTACTCATTGGACAAATGTCTATTGAGAGTCTGCCGTGTGCCTGGGCCCTATTCTAGGCGCTCGGGGGAACCAGAGAACAAAATGAACAGAACTCCCCACCCTGGGGTGCTGATGCTCTGCCAATAGAGCCAGACAATAAGCCACGAGCATGGGATACAAGGAAACCCTAAAGGTCTGAGAAGGCCGGCGGTGCTACGGAGAAGAAGGAAATGTCGAGCAGGATGAGGGGATCGGGAGGACAGGGGTGGGGTTCCAGTTTTAAATGTGCGGTCAGGGTGGGCCACAGTATTCCATGAGAAGCTAATAATGTCTTGGGAAAAGGCAAGGCGCAGTGGCTGGGGTCCTGGCCTTGAGCAGAAGGAGGGTGGGTGGTCTGCAGTCCCCAGGGAGGAGCCAGTTTTAGACAGGAGCATGGAAAGTAGGGATTTTTTTTTTTTTTTTAAGTATGTGTCTGCCTTGAATTGTCCAAAAAAGAGACCAGGACTTGGCCCTTGGAAGTGCCCTGGTTATAGTCTTTGGCACAGTTCTCAGGAGCAGGATGGCTTTGGCCCGGCATTCAGGGCCGCAGCGTGTCATGGACTTGCTCTGTGACCCTGGAGATGTCACCTCCCCTCTCTGGACCTCGGTTTCCATGTCTATAAAACAAGGGGTGGCTCTCGCAGGCCCTCAGAGCCTGGAAGGCGTGTGATTCTACCGGCCGGTTCTTGCAGGAGGGGAACACGGCTCTGCACCTGGCCGCTGGCCGGGGCCACCTGGCTGTGTTGCAGCAACTCGTGGACATCGGGCTGGACTTGGAGGAGAGGAATGTGGTGAGTTGCCACCTGGATGATGCAGAAATGGGTGACACTCACCCTCTGTCTTCAAGGAACCCACAGCCCGTGGTTTTCCCCGATAGAGGCCCTAAAGCTGGCAGCTGAGGATCTGTTCTTGACCCAGCAGCCCGCCAGGAAAAGCTAAGCCGGGGCACAAAACTCCAGGCTTATTGGGGCACCAGGCAGGAGGGGTTACCAGGAGTCATGCACAGGGTGTGTGCTCACAGAAGGGAGGAGTCTCATAACCAGGATGGGCAGGGGCGGCTTCCTGGAAGAGGAGGGAATGGACAGAGAGCGGGGTGAGGCTGCTTGGAGGGCAGGAGAGCCTGAGCAGAGGGGTGGCGGAGGGGGTGAATGGACCACCTGTCCCTCAGAGTGAGACAGTCAGGGGCGGGGATTAGGGAACCGCAGATAATGGGGCCATTGTCCTGGGAGCAGGGCAGTGGAGAGCTCCGAGCCCTGGAGCCTGGCAGGAGGGTGTCCTCTGGTCTCAGGTCCTGGCCTCAGCTTCCTGTCCTCCCCAAACCTCTCCCGTCTCCCGTGTGTTTCAGGAAGGTCTGACTGCCCTGCACGCCGCTGCTGAAGGGACCCACCCCGACTGTGTGCAGCTCCTCCTGGCGGCGGGGAGCAGCGTGAATGCCCTCACTCAGGTAGCCAGGCCTCCCCACAACGGACGGCGGACTTTTATTTTATTATTTTAAAAATATATTTTATTGATTTTTTACAGAGAGGAAGGGAGAGGGATAGAGAGTTAGAAGCATCGATGAGAGAGAAACATTGATCAGCTGCCTCTTGCACACCCCCTCCTGGGGATGTGCCCACAACCAAGGTACATGCCCTTGACCGGAATCGAACCTGGGACCCCTCAGTCCGCAGGCCGACGCTCTATCCACTGAGCAAAACCGGTCAGGGCTGACAGCGGACTTTTAAATAGCTCTATTCCTTTATCTTACACATAACCAAGTAATTATTTTGTTGGATTGCATGTCTGAGGTTTTGGTGAATCCTCACCCAAGGATATTTTTTCCATTTTTATTTATTTAAAATATTTTTATTGATTTCAGAGAGGAAAGGAGAGGGAGAGAGAGATAGAAACATCCATGATGAGGGAGAATCATTGATCGGCTTCCTATTGCATGTCCAGCACTGGGAATCGAGCCCACAACTCGGGCATATGCCCTGGCTGGGAATCAAACCGTGACCTCTGGTTCCTAAGTCAACACTCAACCACTGAACGATGCCGGCTGGGCCCACTGATTTTTAGAGAGAGTGGAAGAGAGGGGGAAAAAACATCAATATGAGAGAGATACATCAATTGGTTGCCTTGGCTTGAGGTTTCTGGGACAGCTGCCCTGGGCTGCTGAGCTGTAACCGCGTCAGCAGTAACAGCCACAATGATTCCAGAACATTGTGTGCCCGGAGGCTATGAGGCAGCAGGCCCAGGTGCTGGTCTTGGCTTCTCCACTGCTGAGCTGTTGTGATCTGAGCAAGTTATTTAACCTCTCTGAGCCTCTTTCCCCAACTAGGAAATGGGGAGGCAACCAATCAATGTGTCTCTCTCACATAGATGTTTCTCTTTCTGTCCCTCCCCCTCCCTTCTACTCTCTCTGAAATCAATGGGAAAAATATCCCCGGGTGAGGATTAGTAACAAAAAAGAAAATAAATAGCAAAATGGCAAATGTAAAAATATCCATGTTAAACCACTCTAAGTATGAATAATGTTTTATAAGCCACGAAACACTTAATGTACGGAGCTCCCTTAGAAGGGACCCACTGGCCTAGGGGTATGGGGGAGGAGGGGACACCAAGGCGCAGAGAGGGAAAGTAGCTGCCTCAGGGCTCCCAGTGTGTCCTCGGGTGCTGCTCTTTGGTCAGCAAGGCCCTTTCCCTGTGCCCAGCACAGCGCTCAGTGCTGGGAGGGCTCTGTAACAGGAAAAGCATAGGCATTGAGAGACTGGGAGCTGATAATGGTCATGGTGAGGGTGGAGCTGCCCACTCCTCTGGGCCTTGTGCTCCAGCCTTGGCTTGAGGTTTCTGGCAGAGGCCACATTCCATCTAGAAATTCTCACCCCTTGAGTGTTTTGCAGCAGGGTCCGAGGGGGCCGGGGGTGGGGGGGTGGCAACCCATGTGATTGTATTTCCCCCTGGGAGACGGGCTACTTCCCACCCACCCTGTGCACGCAGGCAGGACTTTGAGAGGGTGACCAACTCGTCCTGGTTTGCCCCCATATTGGCAAACTGGGACATCTGCTTGGTCACCCACTGGGGCCTGGAGGTATCTGTGTGAGATCCTTGTTGGGCCAGGAGAGGGCTCTGCTGAAGGAGCGCACTTAGAAAGCTGATGCAGGATGAAGCCCTCGCTCTGGCCCTGCCAGGTCCTGCTGGGACACCCTCAGACCAGATCCCGCTGGGCAATGTGTGCCGGGTGGGGTGTGCCCTGTACTGGCAAATCTTATTCATCCCCTTCTTTGAAAACCATCTCCTCAGAGTCTATACGCTGTGTGTCTTTACCGGCTAAGGAACGGTGTGGCCTTTGGCCTGTGTTCCGGAGTTGTGACAGGAGGCCAGGAAAGCCTGAGGTCATAGTGAGCTCCTTTTACTGTCACCAGGCCTGGGCACGTCATTGATTTCTCCAGCCTCAGAGTTGAAAGGGGAGAATAATCCCGAAGGGGTAGGCGGGGAGGGGTTATGAGAAAACATGGAATAGCGAATCCCTCAGTGCTTTGTGAACCTGCTATGAAGGGTCCGTAGGGCATTGCATTGATTTCTGTTTTCCTCTAGAAAGAGCAGAGCTGCCTCCATTACGCAGCTCTCAGTGGCTCTGAGGACGTGGCCCGGGCCCTCATCCACTCAGGCGGCTGCACCAACGTGGCTGACCATGTAAGTGCGGGGGCCTGGACTGAAGGGGGCCCCCATGACCCCAAAGTCTTCCATGACCCATTGATCGGGGTTAGGATGGGGGCCAACTGGCAGCGTGTAGGAGAGTCAAAGAGGGCTCAGCGGGACAGGACTAGAAACCAAGCTCGCATTCCTTCCAAGCGCAGTATCTCCTCGAGTTTATCCACTGAGTCTTAGGAATGATCTTATTACAGATTTACCTCTCGGTTGTTCACATGTTTCCTGTTATGTTGTGGCACATGCAGTGTACCATAGGCAACAGTATAACCTTGTGGTTAAGGCTTGGACTTTGGTGTCAGACAACCTGGCTTTGAGGCCTGGCTCTGCCACTCAAACTGAATGGCCTTGGGCAAGCAGCTCTGACCTCCCCGGGCCTCTGTTTCCATATCGGTAAGTACTATTATTATTCCCATTACACAAACGAGGAACTATCTATTGTTTAAATTAGAAAGAGGTCATTTCATATAGCTGAAATCAGTACTCCATTTAAAATTATTGTAGCCTGGCTGGTGTGGCTCAGAGGTTGAGCACCAACCTATGGACCAGGAGTTCATGGTTCAATTCTGGTCAGGGCACAGGCCTGGGTTTCGGGCTTCATCCTCCCTGGGGATGTGCAGAAGGCAGCCAATCAATGAACTCTCTCATCATCGATGTTTCTATCTCTTTCTCCGTCTCCCTTCCTCTCTGAAATACAGTGGGGCCTTGACTTACTCGTGTCCCGACTAACGAGTTTTTCAAGATACGAGCCGTCTCTAGGCTGATTTTTTGCTTTGAGTTGCGAGCTAAAATTCGGGTTACAAGCCAGCTTCAGATACCCCAGCGCTAGTTGGTGCAGCAAACGTACAGTGAACGCCGCAACATCAGCCCAGCATCATGTGTCTCACTCGTTCACTTTTTGATTTGACATACGAGTAATTTGAGTTATGAGCTCCGTCACGGAACGAATTAAACTCGTAAGTCAAGGCCCCACTGTACATAAAAATATGTTTAAAAATATAAAATTATTGTAAAAATAGTATAACACAATTCATTAGAATAGAGAGAAAAGGGGCATCCTTAATCCTGACACCCTAGTCAAGCAATAACTTTTCTCTATTCCCTTTCAGTTTCTCCTCATATGAGTAGCACCTCCAGAATAAATCCAGGCTAAGGCAGACTTCTGCCAGGAGGGTGCTTATTCGTTTTTCCCCATCGAGACACCAGAATCGACTCCAGTCCAGTGGAGTCCCCCGAGCCCAGGTGCCCAGTGTTGCTGCAGTTTTCCTGGTAGACATTTTTTAGGTGTTGACCATGACAGGTGTGGTCCAGTATCCACATCACATTTAACAATCCTCAACTGTTGGACATTTAAGTTGGTGCTGACTTTGCAACTATAAAGAATGATTTCATGAACATCTTTATGGCATAACTTTTTATTGCTTTTGCATTATATATGAGTTCTCCAAGCAGGATTCCAGGTCAGGTAGTAAAAACATTTTTATGATTCTTTTTTAAAATCCCACAAAAAGGCTTATTAATGATAGTAACAGAACAAATTTCAAACCAAGCAGCAATCACTCCTTCAAACAAACAAACAAACAAACAAACAAGTCCTCATTTTCAGATGGATACGGTGTGGATTCCATAATAGCATTTACAATATTATTACTATTGTTCTTCAGGGCGTGGATTGACGTTGCTCTCGACACATGTGCTTGGGACATGAACAATTCTATGTCTTAACGCCCACACCGGTTTCATCAGCCTCTTCCTTTTCACTCTCCTCTTGACAGTTGGAGTCTGTGTTTTCTTGAATGTCTGAGACAGCTTCGCCTTGAACTTTGAATTTCTCAGCTGCTAGCAGGACTTGCTGAGATAAATCCTCAATCTTGGCTTCCCCCAAAACTACATAGGTATCTGAAGCTGGGCTCTTGTAGACCTCTGGTTTTGTGATGACAAAGAGGATATTCTTAGATTTCTGGATAATGACCCTTATAACCTCTGTCACCTCTTAAAGGCCCAGTTTGGACCCAGCCTTTCACGCCTTCTTTTCACTCTGGCTCTGTTTTGCTTTACCGACTGGTTCTTCATCGATTTCAGCGGCCGCAGGCAGGCTTGTTGTGTGGTTTGCCTGTGTGGAATCTTGTTCCTCGAGCTCTGGTCCTGATTCATACTGTCAAATTCTGTTCCACACCTTGCCTCAGCCTGGGGCGGCGGCAACTCCTGCTCTGTACCAAGATCTTATGATTTGGTGCAAGTTGTTAAATCGCTTTCCCAAAACGTCATACCACATAGCTTCCAGTCATTTAAGAGTGACCTTTCACCCATATTAGATATTCTTCTATTAATTTTATAGTTAAGTGATTCCTTGTTATTGTTTTAGATTACTATTGACTCTGAACCATTAATCATTTTTCTAGTTTATAAGTTCTTTTGTTGTGAGTTATTTCTTTAGATCCTTTTATAACCCAATGTTACTTTGTTGTTCAAATGTTTCAGCTTTGACCATTGGGAGCCCTTTCAGTTGGCTTCTGTGTCCCTTGATATTGCCTCCTCATTCTAAGTGTGTTTGGTTCTCTTAATAGACTTTATTTTTAGAGCAGTTTTAGGTTCACAGCAAAATGGAGCAGAAGGTAGAGATTTCTCATATGCTCCCTGCCCCTACACATTCATAGCCTTCCTTATTATCAACACCACCCACCAGAGAGCTACATTTATTACAATTACTTGAGTGTTTTTGTCTTCTATATGATTTTTAAAATTAATTTTAGTAGTGTTTTGGGTGGGGGAGGAAGGGTAATAATGATTTTAACCTGTCTAGATTAAAACAACCAGATTGCCTACAAATAATGATATCATTAATATTTTTTAAAATATATTTTATTGATTTCAGAGAAGAAGGCAGAGGGAAAGAGAGATAGAAACATCAATGAGAATCATCGATTGCCCTGATCAGGAATTGAACCACGACTTCTGGTTCATAGGTTGACGCTCAACCACTGAGCCCCACTGGCTGGGAAAATCTTTTCTAATATTTATAAACCGTTTTTCCCCTGTCCTAAACTAGTGATGGCAACAGTGGGCATTCTTGTTGTTGCATGTGTGTGTGTTCTGTCTCATAACTTTTTTAAACTCAATATGTGAGGGTATATTTCCACAATCAGTATAGATCTATACTACCAATTTTACTGGCTTTGTACTATTGCACAGTATGTGTGTGACCTAGAGAAGGAGATACAGTGGCAGTATCTTCACTTTGTCATGCAGTCAGGGGTCACAGGGGACCACAGGGAAGGGAGTCTCCTAGCCTTGAGCAAGGCCTTGGATAAGTGCTGGACTTGGAGTGAGATCTCTGTTCCAGTCACATCCAGCTCTCTCTTTCATTGATATCACACATAAATAGGTACCAGGCATCTACTGAGGTGCTAAGGGTTGAAAGTTCAATGACACAAGGTATCTATTAGCTATGTGTCCTTTGGCAAGTTGCATACGTTCTCTGAACCTCAGTGTTTCCATTTGTAAGATGAAAATACCAATAAAAGTACCATCCTTATATACTCTCTAGGTTCATGTGTGGGTTACATGGGATATGAGAGAACACTAAGGTGTTGTTGCTAGAAGGGACCTTGGCAAACATCACTTGCCAGGTGAAGAGTAGCAGAGAAGGAAAATGACTTGCCCAAAGCCACCATGTGAGGTCCTGGCATAGAAAAGTCTCCAACTTGGGTCTTCAGGTCCCCACCCACCTTGAGGTTCAGTGTTTGGACCCCAGGGATTCAGGCTATGGGACTGTAAATGCCTCAGGCCACCCATCAAACCCAGAAGCACTATCAATGCTCCTCCCTACTCTCATCCCCCAGCACCCACCTCCTGCTCGGCAGTCCTGGGAGGGACCCTTCAATTGATTTGTGTCTCCCTCACCCCAGCAGGGAGCCTCTCCAATGCATCTCGCTGTGAGGCACAACTTCCCCACCCTGGTTCGGCTCCTCATCGATGCTGGCAGTGACCTGGACGCCACCGACAATGTAAGTAGCTACAGGATCCACTTGGTTCCCACAGAGCCTCTGGGCACCCTCCCAGGCTGGCTGGGCTCGGCTGCAGTCTACCAGATGGCCCAAAGCTATTAATCGTTTTATAGCTTGATTTGTTGACGGTAGTGGTAGCATCATTTTTATTAACCATTCCCCTATTATTTTGAACATTTTGGTTGTTTTCAAGTTTTCCTACATTCAACCTTTTCCTTTCATTGACTCCCCCGCACTCCCTCCCCACCCCCACAGGGAGAATCCCGGGGCAGGGGTGACTGGGGCAGTCTTGTGTAATTACAAGAGGCCTCCAAGTCCTGAAGTTGAATCAGTCAGGAGCCCTTTTAAACCCCTGTTCCCTCAATCCACTTCCTAACCATGTATTCCTCAGTGCCAGCACACACACACACACACACACACACACACACACACACCACTAGGGAAAGAAAGCAATTTGGCAGGAGATAGTGTATACCATTAAAATTGTGACTATTTTTACATCTGAGAATTGAGCTTCAAGAAATATATTAAGAGCTCATGCACAAAGATATTCATTGCAGCATTATCAATCTTCAGTGTGAAAATGGGCCAAATACTTAATAATAGAGAAGTGGTTAAATTACAGTATTGACATGGACTATTGTGGAGCTATCAAAAATGGTGGGTGCCGTGACTGGTGTGACTCAGTTGCTTGGAGCATTGTCCCATACACTGAAAGGTTGTGGGTTTGACTCCCAGTCAGGGCACATACCTAAGTTGCGGGTTCATTTCCCGGTCAGGGCACATATAAGAGGCAGCTGATGAATGTTTCTCTCTCATATCTCTCTCTCTCTCTCTCTTCCTCTCTCTAAAATCAACAAACATATCCTTGGGTGAAGATTTTAAAAATGGGTGTTTATTAGAGTTGATAATATGTGTAAAGTGTTATGTTAGGTATAAAAATAGGTGCAAATTGTATGCATATTCAGAATGGTCTCAAATATGTAAAACCAACAAACTAAGAACATTCTGCATTTTAAAAAAAAGACTAGAGAAATATCATTACAGAGGTTGACTTAGGTGGGCTAGTGAGTAGTATTTTTTTGTTTTTACCAACTTTTCTCTGGTATGATGCTTACGATTAAACCCAGCTTACTCTTCCTCGTAACTTCGTAGAGAAACTTTGTTAAAGCCCAATTGGGAGTGCACCCACCTTGGTCCTATCCTGGCTTTAAGCACAGGCCACTTCTACAAGCTCTTCCATTTCCCTGTCCCTTGATTTCTCTTCCAGAGGCAGCAGACGCCCCTCCACCTTGCTGCGGAGCACGCCTGGCAGGACATAGCGGAGATGCTCCTGGTTGCGGGGGTTAACTTAAACCTGAGGGATAAGGTACCTCTGCTCACAGCCAGCCTCCCTTTCAAGCTTCCATGGCCACCTGCTTTCAGAGTGTCAGGGCCTCCCCTCCTTTACAGACCACCTCGAATGCAGCTTCCTCCAGGAAGCCTTCCTGCTCCATTTTCTTTCCCCGCCTCCTCTGAGGGCCCTCAGCACTCGGCCCTCCCCATTCCTGTTCTCTAGGCCTAGGATGTGGTTGCCCTCTGTTTTCACGGCCTCATCAGACTCTGAGCACCTTGAGTCACTGGTGGGGAGGGGGGAGCTTTTCAGCACATCATGCCTGTGGGGTGACTACGTCCTCAGTGGCTGGAGGTCTGAGAAGAGTGAAGACCTAGTATGAGGCTTGTGAGGGGAAGGTTATTTGCAAAAGGCCTTTGGGATGGGGTGGGGAGGATTGAGCAGGACCAGGCTCTGAGGCTGGGCCTAGGAGGGGCTCCCTGCTTTGAGCTGGGCCTTGGGGCAGCTGCCCAAACTCGGAGAGGAGCTTCCCATCCGTGGGGGTGGTTGAGGCCAGCGCGGATTGGGAGGCCTGGATCACAGGGCTGGGAGCATGTGGGGAAGTGGGAAAACTTGACTCAGGGAGCCCAAGTCCCTTCTCTGGGCTCTGGTTTCATCTGAGAAACGGGCTGGTAACAGCTGTTTCCCAGGTGGTGTAGAAGTGTCATGCAGGCTGCATTTCATAAGCACTAAGGCTTGTTAAGTTCTAGAGAGCACAGGAGGCGGTGGCTGGAATTATCGTTATTGCTTATTCTACCTGTGACTTTCCACCTCCCTCCTCATGACCAGAAAGCCTTCCTACTCTCCAGTGTAGATGGCTGGAAACCACTTCCTTTGGGCGGCCGGGTTTGTAGTCCCGGCTAGAGATCACCCTACACCCCTCCTGTAGACACTCCGGCTTCCCTCCTCGCTTCTGCTTGCAGCAAGGGAAAACCGCCCTGGCCGTGGCCGCCCGCAGCAACCACATCAGCCTGGTGGACATGATCATAAAAGCTGACCGCTTCTACCAGCGGGAGAAGGTACTGGGGCCCTGCGCCAAGGGAGCCACCTGGGCTCCAGGTGGAGTCGGCTTTGACCAGTTCAGGGTCCCCTCAGTTTCCAAGGCGGCAATAATCGCTGCCTTGTCTACCAGCAGGGCTGTTTGTGGGGGTGTGAGTTGGGGAGCGTCCACACCAGTGTGGAGAGACTACAGGCTGCCGCTGTGGCTCCTGGCAGGTGGACGAATAGATGCATGCGTGAGTGTGTGGGTACAGAGATGGCTGGTTGGTCCTGGATCAGTGCCATCTCCGGGTGATTGCAATTACTGCTTGGGGGGGGGGGGTGTATTCAGGCAACTTCCTCAGCCCAGGAGGAAGGTGTGCTGGGAGCGATTAGTGACGTCTGCTGGGGAACTGGGAAAGAAGGGTGGCTGATGTGAGGCCGGGCATTTGCTGTTCTAGTTGTCAGCAAGTGGGGGTGGGCAGGGGTTTCTGGTGTCTTTGAGGGTGGTTTATATACACAGGAAATGATTTCTTACATTTACTTCAGTTTTAAAAAGTAATACTAAATTTATTATAACTTTAAAAAACTAATTTTCTGTAAATTTCAAATTTATCTTATAAATCTCATTATTCTAGTTAGACATCCTAGTAAATTTGAACAGTCACTTTCAAAGAAGCCTTTTGAATAGTGTTTGGTCCCATGTATAAATTTAGTCAATTATTGTAAACATTTTAAAGTGAATAGATACATTTAATATAATAGATTTTCTTTTCAAGTACTTCAAATGCTTCCTCCATGTAAAAATTATCCGAGTAAACCCAATAAATTAAACCTATAAATAAAGTGAATTTCATTCAAATATCACTCCAATATTGTTTACAAACTTAGTAAACTTCTCTACACCTCTCAAATAAAAAAAAAATCACTATTCCAAATCAGTTGGTGGATAACCAATTTCAATAGGAATCATGAGATACTCCTTTTCACTGACATGCAGGAGTCTCATAAACATTACAACAGACGACCCCTACATGTAACCCCAGGATATTAATATGAAGGGTTTGACGAAATGATTTATGTGCTTAATGCTCAGCCACATCACTCTTTAAAGCTCTCAACACTAGGGCAGAGGTGCAGTTAGAATCACGAATTCCTCCCTCCTCTCTCCAGGCCAATTCAATCAGAATCTCTGGCCTGGGGATGAAGCATAGTAGTTCTTAAAGCTCCCAGATGGTCCCGGTGCAGAGATGCAGCGGAGAACACTGCTCCCTGCTCTAAGAAACGGTGTCTTACCACCAGGGTGAGAGCCAAGCTCCCATGTCCTCCCCTCACAGGCGACTGTCCAGACACTGCTGACCAGGAGGTGACATGCAGACACCAGGGTGACTTTTCTCACCGTGAGCTTCTCAACAACCGGAACTCTGTATCCGCTTCCTTTAGAGGGGCTTACAGAGGCCTTAGTTTATGCTATTACGTAATTCTTTTGTAACCTCTCATTTTATCACTTGCTTTGCATAGAAAGACTTCTGTAACCTTACCCTTCACTGCTTATTGGCATGTGGCAAGTCCAGTGCCTTGTTTAGTTTTAGCCACAACTGCTGAGTCCCTCTACTGTCACCTGTACCACATAAAAACAGAGAAGAGAGGAATTGGGAAGCCTTCCTGAAAGAGGTGGCATTTGGGTGGTCTTTTGACTGTGGCAATGGGCTTGAGGGACAGGGAGGTGAGGAAAGGACTTCTGGATGGAGGAACAGTGTGAGCAGCTTGGGTCCCAGAGGCCAAAGCAAGGCATAGAGGCAGAAACCAGAGCCGTAGACAGTAAGGCCCAGGTTGGTAATGACACCATCTCCCAGTTCCCAGTCCAGGATCACGAGGGAGAGCCTGGCAGGGATTTCCCCCCCAGAAACCCCTGTTGCACTTTTGGGATCTGCCCCACAGGACCACCTCTCACTCAGGGACCCCAGTGGCCTCTCTGGGAAGAGTTTGACCTTTAAGCAGGACCATCGGCAGGAAACGCAGCAGCTCCGCTCTGTGCTGTGGCGACTGGCCTCCAGGTACCTGCGGCCCCACGAGTGGAAGAAGCTCGCGTATTGCTGGGAGTTCACTGAGGCCCACGTCCATGCCATCGAGCAACAGTGGACAGGTACCCCTCGCCTCGGCTCCCCAGAGCAATCAGCAAGTGGAGGGGTAGGGGCACTGGAGGTATCTTCTGTTTTCTGTGCTTCTGGGGAAAAAGCCTGTGCAACCCACAGCCCAGCCACATGAAGCTGCGTGCCATTTCCAGCACACCGCGTGTTTTCTTCACGCATCAGGCCTTTGCACCGGCATGCCCTCTGCTTCTCCCTCCCCGTTGTCCTGTCAACTTCACATTCTTCATGAATCAGCCGGAGCTGGTACTTACCGTTCATACAGGAAACGAAAGGCACTTCCAGGAAAAAGAAGAGGAGCTGCTGTGACCACTGTTACTTAACATATATTTGAACATGTTGGCCCTGGCACTAAGGCATGAAACAGAATTAGAAATGAGTGCAAATACTGGAAAGGAAGAGAGAGATTTATTAAGTTCAGATGCTGTGATTATATGCACAGGAAATCCAGAGGAATCAGCAGAAAACTCTTAGAATAAAATGATTCAGTGAGCCCGGCCAGCAGGGCCCAGTGGTTGAGCATTGACCTGTGCACCAAGAGGTGGCCGGTTCGATTCCTGGTCAGAGCACATGCCCAGGTTTCAGGCTTGATCCCCCCAGCAGGAGGCAGCCAATTGATGGTGATGTTTCTCTCTGATTGATGTTTCTGTCTCTCTGTCCCTTTCCTTCCTTCTCTCTCTAAAAAATCAATTAAAACATTAAAAAATTAATTCAGCCCTGGACAGTTTGGCTTGGTGGTTAGAGCAGTGGCCCACAGACCGAAGGTGCTCAGTCAAGGGCACGTACCTGGGTTGCAGGCCCGATCCTGGCCCGGGTTGGGGTGTGTGCAGGAGGCAACCAATTGATGTCTCTCTCTCACATCACGCTTTCTCTCTCTTCTCCCTCCCTCCCTTTCACTCTCTCTAAGAATCCATGAAAAAAATATCTTCGGGTGAGGATTAACAACAACAACAAAATTTAATTTCATGAAATGGCTAAATATATGATAAAATATGCAAACACCAGAGTATTCCTATGTACCATCAATAAGTGGGCCAAATAAATAGAGGCATTTTAAAAAATATATTACTTTAAAAATATATATTTTATTGATTTTTTACAGAGAGGAAGGGAGAGGGATAGAGAGTGAGAAACATCGATGAGAGAGAAACATCGATCAACTGCCTCCTGCACAACCCCTACTGGGGATGTGCCCGCAACCAAGGTACACGCCCTTGACCAGAATCGAACCTGGGACCCTTGAGTCCACAGGCCGACGCTCTATCCACTGAGCCAAACCAGTTAGGGCAAGATATTACTTTTATAATAATGTGTTTTTATAAAAAGAAATATGAATGACATATTAATAAAACAATAAAATTTAGTTTAGCCATAAAAGAAGACTTGGGTAAATGGAATGACATTTTATATTCCTGGCTGGAAATAATATCTTATAGATATTGATTTTTCCCAAATTAGATTAAAACTTTGATCTAGTTTTAATCAAATGAATATAGGAAGTTTTTGAAGTTTGACTGAAAGAATAAACAGGGAACATATAAATGAATATTCTGGGGGGGAAAGTGAAGAGGATCTAACCCAACCAGACTCAATCATTTATAAAGTTAAAATAACATAGACACCTGACACAAAAATATGCAAACCAATTAGTGGACTAGAGCGGGGTATCCAGAAGTAAACTTTATTACCGACAAGAGCTTTCACAGATGATAGAGGGGCACTGAGGGGCAAAGGCTAGTGAACAAAGGGGTCGGATGAAAGTGCCGCACCAAGGGCAGCACCGGGAGGACGTGCCTGCTGAGGTCCCACAGGGGGCAGGGCAGACACAGCGAAAGGACTGACCTCGACCAACGGCCGTGCCCGCCATCGCCCTGCCTGGGAGAGCAGACCTAGTCACAGAGTTTAAAACAAGTTAATCCCACCACCGGCACCGAAGAGTGCGAACACTTATTTTCCGAACATGGTTGCACCTTGGAATCACCTGGGAAGCGTTAACACCACTCAGTGCCTGGGCTGTCCCCAGAACCACGCTTGTTGGGAGCTCTGGGGGAGGGAGGGGAACCTGGGTGTCCGTAGTTCCTAAAGCCTCCCAGGTGTTCCCGATGGGCACTCACAGTCGAGAACCTGGGAAAGAACGTGGCCAGCTCGGCCTCTGACTAAGCCGACGTCTCGCCTGTAGAGGAGGGCCACTAGCATGCAAGGCACAGACTGTCCTGAGCAGCCAGAGGTGAAGCCGACCGCCTTGTGAATCGGGTACCACAGTGAGTGCCAACTCTCTCTTAAGAGTGACACCAACGGCATGCGTGGTGGATGCTCAGGAGAAAGCCTGGGGCTGGGGAGTTCAGGGTCCCCAACACAGAACCTCCACCCGCACCCTATCTGAGGCTGCTCTGCCCTCCCCTCCCCATCTCTGGGCTGAACCCCTTGAGAGCACAGAGGAGGGCCTGGTGTCGGGAGGCAGGACAGGGCAGCATGGGCACGTGCTTAGATCTGGCTCATGCTAAGTGGGCCAGGTGACTCCTTTTCCTTTTCTCTTTCTCCTTCATGGTCCTCAGGCACCAAGAGCTACCAGGAGCATGGCCACCGGATGCTGCTCATCTGGCTGCATGGTGTGACCACGGCGGGTGAGAACCCCAGCAAAGTGCTCTTCGAGGGCCTCGTGGCCATCGGCAGGAGGGACCTGGCTGGTAAGAGCGTCCCCTGCCCTGCTCCTGCTCAGGGCAGCGCCTGGCCCCAGGGTCAGAGCAGCGTGGCCCCCACTGGAATGCGACAGAGCCTTCAAACCACAGTGCCGTGGCGCTGGCTCTGAACCTTCCAGATTCCTGGTCCCGGCTCTGCCTCTTTCTGGAACTCAGGTGGCCCTTGGGCGAATCACAGTGCCTCCTGGCCCTGGGTTCCCCACCTGTGCAAGGAGGGTGTTGTCCCAGGTGATGCCTATGAGCAGTGGTTCTCAACCTTCTGGCCCTTTAAATACAGTTCCTCATGTTGTGACCCAACCATAAAATTATTTTCGTTGCTACTTCATAACTGTAATGTTGCTACTGTTATGAATCGTAATGTAAATATCTGATATGCAGGATGGTCTTAGGTGATCCCTGTGAAAGGGTCGTTCGACCACCAAAGGGGTCGAGACCCACAGGTTGAGAACCGCTGCCTATGAGGTTCACAGCCCCGGAGCCAGGGATGCTACAGTCTCTTCCTCTCCAGCCTTCTATACTTGATCTTCCCCTCCCCCCCACAGTGTGGAATAAAGCTGGAACAGCCTGCAGAGTTTTTGTTTTGTTTTGTTTTTCTTTTACAAACATTAAGACATACGGGCCAGAACTGGCTTAAGATGAGTTGAGCCAGTCAGATCTCAAAATTTCCAATGCCATCCCAACTTTTGAATTCCAGCTATTAAACAAAAAGGATGAAACAAATGGAGCTTGTAATGAAAAAAGAAAAGAAAAAAATAGTCCCAAAATCCTGGCTTGGTACTCAGGGCATCCATGGAACCATCAGGCAGGAGGGATAACAGCTTCTGGCACAACCCCCGTTAGGAACAAGGCCAGCTCTCGATGACAAAGCCTTAAACACTGCGATGTGCACTGGATGGCGCTTTACGGGAAACCACGGGACGGGGTACCAGGCAGTCGCCAATAGTAGTGAAGGCTACGTTAGTCATGTGGCAACAGGAGAAACATGGAGAGCATGTTACTGAGGGGAAGGAAAGCCCCTGGCATGCTGGCCATTGCAGCACTGCCACGGGCAGGGTAGGAAAAGAGTCATCTCAGAGTGGAGGAATTGGGTATAACTTCTTTCTTTTTCCAAAATGTCAAATCTTACTGTTGCTTCTTCTTTTAACACAAATTCTGGCAGCCAGTGAAAACCTGAAACGAGCCCTTAGGCAACATGAGGCAATAGGAGTCTCGTCTTTTGCAGAAAGCATCAGGAGGAAAGTAAACGCTGACCCGGGCACCCCCAGGAGGTGCACAGCCATGTAACCAGAGGGGCTGGACCTTCAGGAGCCTGGGACCTTGGAGTGGGGGCCACGGAACAGAAGACGACCACCACTTAAGGGCTTAAAAAAAGAATCACCATTAACAAACCTCCAGCTGCTTGTACTGAAATGCATCATCATGCAGGGCCAGCAGGCAAATGTTTGCAATTTCTTTCAGTGATTGGTCCAGGGGCTGTCTTGGGTTTTGCAGGTAATCCCTTCCCACAGGTATGGTCCTTCGCATCTCTCAGCTCACTTTCATCCCCGTCATCTCAGAGCCTCACAGGGCGCAAGAGGCGTCTTGTCAGAGAGGACACGGGCTCAGGCTAGCTAAGCAGCCAATCAGGTGGTGAGGTCAGGTGCCAACCCCAGCATTCCCGTCTCTCCAACTGCTGAAGGGCTCCATCCATCACTTACAAAACGGACCACCCTTAACTCATCCACTGGCTTTTAGGAATGCTGTGCTCGCTCCACAGCTGTTTCTGTTCCCAGGTTTATCTGTACGCGTGGACAGTTCCTTGAGGCACACACTCTCATTTTTTTCCTCTCGTAACATTTTTTAAGGTTTTAAAACATTTTTGAAATCATTTTAGACTTACAAAAATGTTGCAGAAACAACACAAAGAATTTCCAAATACTCTTCACAATACAGCTTCCCCAAGTATTAGCATCTTACATAACCAGAGCATAATTTCCCAAACCAGGAAATGAACACTGATACAATACTGTTAGCTTCTCTTCAGACCTTATTCAAATTTAGTCAGTTGAGCCATTTTTCTGCACCAGGATCTCTCCTTGCATTTAGTTGTCATTTTCATTAAAAAAAATTTTTTTTTATTGATTTCAGAGTGGAAGGGAGAGGGAGAAGAGACAGAAACATCAACAATGAGAGAGTATGATTGATCAGCCGCCTCCTGCACGCCCCCTACTGGGGATCGAGCCCACAACCCGGGCATGTGCCCTAACCGGAATCTAACTGGGACCTCCTGGTTCATAGGTTGATGCTCAACCACTGAGCCACACTGGTCAGTTGTCATTCTCATTTTGATAGCCCCAGTATGAAGACTCACCTCTCTGGAGCAGCTCTATTCAACCCAGCTTTCTGCAACGATGGACATCTGTGCGCTACGGTTTATTTGCCACTGGCTGCCTGTGGCTATTGAGCTCTTGCGATGTGGCCAGTGGGCTGAGGAACTGAGTTTTAAATTTTATCTCATTTTAATTATTTGAAGTTTAAATAGGCACCGTGGTAAGTGGCAACCACATTGGACGGCACAGCTGGTCTGGAGTTTCCCTTTTAGGTGACAGGCAAGCAGGTGACTGTGCAGCTCAGCCACACCCACCCGCGTGTGGCTCCAGGGGAATGTGACTGGAAGCTTCACGGCTCACAGCAGGGGGAGAGATCTGTAGGGGAGCCTGGAAGTTGAAGTTCTCCTGCCACGCTTGCTAATTCCAGCTCTTTTGCATGTGGCACAGCTGGTGATGGTCAGTGGGGAGCCCGAATCTTAGAAAAACTCCTCACAAAGTTACCCATTGGGCCCAAGTCCTGGGAAGGAGATAGAACAAAATCTGTTGGAGCTGAACGGGGTTTCAGTGACCACACACGGCGGGTGGGGGTTCACAATGGTACCATCCTCTGAAAGGCACTGTGCCATTACCTCCCAGAGTTACAGGTACATTTCCCTTCGCCCAGCAATCCCACATCTAGGGATTTACCCCACAGAGAACCCTGCAAACCTCATGCTAACACTAGTGCAAACCAATACAGGGGACACTGCCGTGGAGAGGGGAATGTGGGAAATCTATACCACCTGCTGTTCTTTGTACTGTTTTAAAAATTAACTCTATTAATTAAACAAAGAAATCCCACAAACTAAGTTTTGAAAAGAAAGAGGCTTTGAAACCAGCCCATGTTACAGGCAGTAACCTGGTGATGAGAGGAGTGTCTTGTAGAGGCCACACAGCTCACATGGATCAGACCCCGGCATAGCAGGCAGCCTCCGTGCCGTGGCCGCCGTCCTCTGCATGGAAAACCCTCCTCTTCCATCTCCCACTTGGGAAAGGTACTTTGTACCACATGGGACTTACATCATTTATCTGAATGGATTTTGCACAATGAATTTTGTATTTTTTTGAGACAAAAATAGCAAGTTCTTAAAATAAAATTGAAATGTTGAAACGTCTCTCAGATTCAATACCCATTTCTTTTGTTTGGGAGACCTGTGGCAAAACTTCAGATGAGACAAGCTGTTGTGGATCGGTTCTGTGTAACCACAACCGTTCAGCTCACCACCAGCAGTCAATATTGACTGAGTGTCTTCCGAGCCGGGCAGTCTGCTGGGAGCCGGGGAGCTGCACGGAGTAGCCCCCAGTTCCTGCCCTTTGGAAGCTTGTGGTCTGGGCGGCGGGTGGAGGGGCTCAGATACCAGTAATGTAATAGAATGCGGTTGGTGCTTGAATGGGTATATGCAGGGAACTACGGGATTTATTCCTCCTTAGAGAAGGTAAGGGAGGAAGGTGAGAGGCTCACAGAGAAGAGAGAAGTGGGCAAAGCACATTCCAAGCAAAGAGCAGTCTATGCAATGGCACGGAGGCGTGTCTGTCTGCAGAACGGTGTGGCTGGAACACAGGAAGCATGGGAGAGGAGAGAGGTGCTGGAGGGGCAGGAGGCCAAGGGCAGGGTGGAAGGGCTTTTCAGCCTTTGTTGAGATGACTCCAGGGGGCACTGGTAGCCCCGGAGCTCCCTCGTCTGTCAGCCTGTGTCATGATGCCCAATCCATCTTCCTTCCACAACCTTCCTTCTTTTGATCTTTAATAAGCATCTTGCTCTCAATGTTTCATCAGCATCTGCTTTGGCCTAAGGCATGGAGGTGAAGGTGTGGTGATGGGGTCCAAGATGGCTGGGTTTCTAGCTGGGAAATCTGAGGAGCAGTGGTGTTGGGAACCGAGATGATGGGGTTGGGGAGAGCAGGGGCAGGTTTGGGCAGTGGGGACATGGGTGTAGCTTTTGCCAGGAGAGTCAGGGGTGCCTGTAGAAGACTGGCCTAATAGACAGGCCTGGATAAGCATTCAAGGCCAGCACTCAAAATCAGTCAGGGCAGGAAATGGCAGTCGTCAGGGGGAGAGCCAGGGAGGCATGGCTTACAAAGGGAGAATTTGAAGAGAGTGGAGGGCAGCCCTGGTTCATTACTGCACCCGGTGAGGGGTTGCTGCTGACCACGTGTAGACTGGCCCTGCCCACAGGCCCTCCCTGTTTGTTGGGAAGTCAAGACACACTCGGGGAAACTATGGCAGCCTCAAGGAAGACTCAGTGCTAACAGTTAGAAATGGCAAGCCCTGCCTCTATGGCTTACCAACTGCTTCCCTAATTCTCGACTGCTGTCAAATCATAAGGCAGTCAGGGAAGACAGCACCTCTGAGGACAGACCACTGGCTTTAGGCATGACCCAACGTGGCAGTCCAGTCCCGTCCTTACTGTGTGACGCCCAGCAGTCTCTCCACCTCTCTGTCTCTGCGCCTGTAAAATCAGTTTAAAATCTGAAAGAGTATGGCCAACTCAGTATTCTGAAAACTTAAAGAAACATGAATGCTGATCTTTTTGTCTAAATCGTACCTCAGAGAAACCAAATAGTTAATGAGGCAAAATTATAGTTGTCTTTGTTTAATCCGTGAACTCCAGGTAATAAATGCAGAAGGAATAATTAGCATTCCAGTACTGTCACTGTCCTGCAGCCCCTGAAGAAATGATGCTTGTGTGTGATGATCAGCAGTGGCAGCTAAACCATCGGGGGACTTTCCAATGACTGGATCAGGCTGACAAGGAGTGATCTTAAGAACTTAGACACAGAGAGACATTATGTGCCTCCTAAAGCTCCCAACAGGAAGCACACACCACCTGTGAAGCATTCCTGCCAAAAAGAATGAGCTCAAACTTGCTCAAGCCTCTACATGCAATTATCAGTTTATGGGAAATGCCAGGGACAGAGAAGTTAAAGGACACCGTGAGTTGCCATCAGCCAAATCCAGACTGTGGTGAATTCTACAGGGCAAACAAGCCTGTTTCTTCAACAAGTAAATAGCAAGAAAAAAATAGAGGGCAGAGGGAATTATAGTTTAAAAGAGATTTAAGAGACACTTCAATCAAATACAAAGTGTGAACTTTGTATGGAAGCTGATTAGAACAAGTCAATCATAAAAGGACGTTTATGAGGTAGTCATGAATGGGAATATTGACTAATGATAAGAAGGAATTATTGGTGAACTGTTAAGTATGTTAATGGCATTATGGTTATTTTATCTCTTGAAGGTACATATAGAAATACTTATAGATAAAATCATATGGTATCAGAAATTGCTTTAAAGTAATCCAGTGATGGGAGTAGGTGTGGAAGAAGGGATGGTGGGATAAGAGATGACATAGCACTGTCCATGACTTGATAATTTTTGAAGCGAGGTGAGTGGGACATGGTTCATTATATTATTTTTCTCTATTTTATGTGCACTTAAAATTTTTCATTAAGGAAGGAAAAAGAAGGTCTGAAAAGTACCTGGTACAGAGTAGCTGCTCAATAAATGATAGCTACTATTATTTTACAATGAGCAAACTGTGCTTAAGAGAGATTAAGTAAGTTACCTAAAGTCACACTGAATTGGCAAACACCATGGTCTGCTTCCCAGAAAGTCCTGTCTGTGTAGTCCGATACAATAATCATAAAAGCCAGTCACTGAAATTGAATTTTTATTCCAAATGACTGTAATGGCTAGAAAGACAACAGCTAAAACTCAAAACCACTTGCATAACTGGAATTGGAAGTAGTTGATCTGCAGGAGAGTAATTGGTGTGGTGACAACCTTGGCACTTTGGTAACAGTTATAACAAGAAAGCACAGAAACAACCAATGTCCTTCTTATACACGATCTGGATGTGCAGTATTTATAGCAAATGATATAAAAAGGAAGAAAGGAAAGAAAAAAAAAAGACAAGGAAAAACCCCCACAAAATCCCAAACCTCAGAAAGTAACATTCACATAAGTACACGATGGTGAAGACTTTTGGTAGCAAAATTTTCACAATTCTTAAAATGGGAGTCTTCAAAAGTACTTCTTCAAATTCAAAAGCTAAAAAACCAAAGAGGGAACAGTTAAGCTGGCTCAGAAGAGCTGCCGCCTGTCACAAAGGGGACCATCAGTCCTACTTCCGAACAGTGATAACCGGCGAGCCTGACGAACTGAACAGAGGCTGACTGGCGGGCACTGATGTCACTGATTGTACAGGAACGTGCTGGGTCACTCGTCATCACCAGCCAAAGCACCAGCTACTGCTCCTCCTGACTGAGGCCGAGGTTGCCTTTTTGCACCTCGAGCTCCTCAGCACTGACCATCGATGGGTCGATGGCCGCATATTTGGTTCCATGGAATTGCAGCAAATGTATCTGTAGAAATGCAGAATCATTATTTTAAACGTCACCATAGTATATAAATGCTCTGTCCCTCTAAAATTAGAGTAATACCTACTAATTAGAGAAAAATTGGGCAACACAGAAAAGTCAAAGAAGTATTTTTAAAAACCACAGTTTGGGATCTTTGTTCCTCATTTAATATGTAGCCAGCCTCTCTAAGTTCCTACAAACTCTTGATAAACATCTGAAGGGGTGCACGCTGCTCCGTGAGCAGGGGTTTACCCTCCCGCTGCTGCTGCAAGGCGGGTCCTCCCAGCCTCTGCTGTGCTGCCTAGCACCATGCTGAATGTCGCTGGGCATCAAGCTTTTCTGTAGTTAGGATCCTCTCCTTAGGATCCATTTCCACAAGTGGATGACAAGATCAAAGGACGTGACTGGTTGTTTTTTTTAAGACTCTTAATACTTTCTGCCAAATTGTCAAAAACAATCATTTCTCACTGATATTCTAATACCCTTTAGGTAGAGGATGAAGAGGTGCTGTATTTATAGATGAAATTTGTTAATTTTTTAAAAAATGCATTAAAAATAGATCAAGAAGTCACTCCATGGCACTCAGATGGACCCCATTCAGGGCTGGTGTCGTGCTCTGACTGAAGTCATCGTGTCCAGGAGGCAAGGTCACATCCTACCAAAAGGTGCTTCAGCGTGTGAGGCGATGGGCCTGCTGTTCTTAGAAAAGGGATGGTGGGCAGAGTCACCTGGGGATCTCTAATACATCTGCTCAAATTATCCTATAAATTATTCATGGAAACCGACTTTATTGAATCAATGCCTCAGTCCTACAGAGAATTCTATAGTTCTCTTACTCCACGTTTTTTTTAAAAAAAGGCTTTCTGTTTCAAACCATACACGTCGGGTTCAAAGTGCTCTGGGTTCCAAGCTGGGACGCACCTGTACATAGAGATTCACCTCTGCGCTCCTGCACAGGTACGGGAAGTTGCCTCCCGTTTTAAGGTGAGCCCTCCGGGCATTAGGATACAGTTTGTACATTTCTTCTTTAGCTTCAGTTGAAAGTGCACTCTGGTCAAATACCTTTAAAAAAATACAAGGTTGTAACCTACTGGTAATTTAATATGTTCTTTTCACATTCTGGAAAGTGCCCCCCTAGGCATTTCTTTCCCATGAAGAGACACTGCTGAACCCCGGTGCAGTCGGGGCCACCTCCTCCTGCTTGCTGATCGCCCGGGACTCCAATCCAACATAAGACATTAGCCACAGATTTTGCTGCCAAATGTCTCCTGCATTCTTTTTTGGGGGGATGGGGGTGTGGGGGGGCGAGGAAATTCTTCTGTGGATTTCCTTTTTCCTCAAACATAGCTAGCTAAATGAACAGAATATTAATAGTGAACAATCATTATTGGAAAATGCCAGTTTAATTTCAAAAAGATCGTAAAACCCCAAAAGAATTTTAAAATTTTACTATGTTAATAACAGCTATATAAGTAGTATATGCTCAGTAAAGAAATCCAAAAAAATCCAAAAAAATTTGCAAGTATGAGAAAAAGTCCAGATCCTTCCCTGGAGGGGCCATTGCTAGAAGTTTGGGGCATATGATTCTAAACATTTTTCAATGCCCACACCAACTAATGTTTATACACATATGCAAAAATGTTTTTTTAAAAGTAATTTAAAAGAAACAAAAAAAATGCATCTCATCTTGCTAAAGCTTAGAGACAGTTTTCCGTGACCATGTACCCAAGTGGTGGGCAGTTTTAAAAGATGAGCAAGCAGATCAAATGCACCGTGAGGAGCAGACATTCCACCGAGTGTACTTAAAGGTTGCTCAGTGTCATGGTGAATGTCAGAATGTAGAGATTACAGTGGAAAATGATAACAAGTTATCATGCTTATAATGAATAATTTTCTGACAAAATCAACTTTTTAAAATACCCTGAATTTGCCAAACCGGTTTGGCTCAGTGGATAGAGTGTTGGCCTGCGGACTCAAGGGTCCCAGGTTCGATTCCAGTCAAGGGCATGTACCTTGGTTGTGGGCACATCCCCAGTGGGGGGTGTGCAGGAGGCAGCTGATCAATCTCTCTTATCGATGTTTCTAACTCTCTGTCCCTCTCCCTTCTTCTCTGGAAAAAATCAATAAAATATATTTAAAAATTAAAAATAAAATACCCTGAATTTAAGAATAAATCTATTTTTGAGGCAAGATAGTTATATGATATTTTTTTAAAACTATAAGCCAAAACCACAATAAAATACCACTTCATATCCACTAGGATGGCCATTATCAAAATAACAGAAAATAACAAGTGTCGGTGAGGATATGGAACTGGAACCCTGGTGCATTGCTGGTGGAGATGTAAATGGCACAGTCACTGTGGACAATGATCCCGTGGTGTCTCAAAAAGCTAACACAGAGTTACCATATGACCTCAGCAATTCCACTTCTAGGTATATACCCAAAAGAATTTAAGTACAGACTCAAACAGACATTTGCACAACCATGTTCAGAGAAGCATTATTCACAATAACCAAAAGGTGGAAACAACCCAAATGTTCATCAACAGGTGAATGGATAAATAAAATGTGGTATCCACATACAATGGAATACTATTCAGCCTTAAAAAGGAATGACATGCTAATACATGCTACAACCTGGCTGCAGGGACTAGGAGGAGGGAGCAATGGGGAGTTACTGTTTAATGGGTACCGAGTTTCAGTTTGGGATGATGAAAAGTTCTAGAACTAGATAATGGTGATGGTTGTACAACATTGTAAATGTACTTAATGCCACTGAACTGTACACTCAAAAATGGTTAAAGTGGTCAATTTTATTATGTATAATTTACCACAACTCAAAAACATAAGAAGTTTTTGCACTAATTAGACTTTATGGAATTCTTCATTTGCTGCCCTCCTGAGACACCTTCTCTTAGCTGCCCAGATATATAATAGCTAAAATGTAATATCTGTTGATAACAATAAAAATAAATACACCAAAATGGGTAAGAATTACCACGTTTGTTTAAATTTATTCTGATTTCGATTGGGTTATCCCTGCCAGGAAAAATATAGAATAAGCAATAAATAGATTGCTTTGGAATTAAGGAAGCTGAAGAGATTTAAAAAAACCCAAGCTGCCTTTGAAAAACATTGAAAAATTATAAAATAATTATGAGGAGGATCTTGACATACACATTTAAAAAGATAAAGCATCTATTTTACTTAAAAGGAAGCTTACATCCATGATGGTTACAGGGATGTCCCGAATCTTATGAGGTTCCACATAAGAATTTTGACAATTCAGGGTAAGTCTCGAAGCCAGTTCACTCTGACCCAAACTTTCCAGCTACAGAAAGAAACACAGGTAAAGTTTTTGAATTGATTTTGTTTTTCACATTTCCATTAAATCCACAGATAGTATTTGTGCTTATAAAGGAGGGATCATGTGTCAGGGGGCCAGGAAGGTCACTGACAAGGAAACACATGTATTTGAGAGCCATCAAATAGGCCTCTCCGGTGGTGGCATTTTCCTGTTCTGGGAACCTGGCCTTTCATAGTCTTCCACATGAACTGCTTCTTCAACTCCGTGCCATGGGCAGCAAGCCAATTCCCGTAGCTCAAAGATGACAAATAGCCCTTGCCAGTTGGGCTCAGTGGATAGATGGCAGCCCGCGGATTGAAGGGCTCCAGGTTCAATTCCAGTCAAGGGCACGTACCTCAGTTGTGGGTTCGATCCCTGGCCCTGGTGCGTGTGGGAGGCAACCAATCTATGTGTCTCTCTCACATCGACATTTCTCTCTCTCATCGACGTTTCTCTCTCTCCCCTCCCTCCTTTCCACTCTTTTAAAAAATCAATGGAAAAAATATCCTCAGGTGAGGATTAACAACAACAACAACAAAGACAAGAGATAAACATTTAGGAGATCTTAGAGCTGGGTAAGACCTCAGAAATATTAACTAGCCCAGTAGTTTCTAAATGCAAGTCTAGTGCTGGATGGATAGCTCAGTTGGTTAGAGCATCGTCTGGATATGCCAAGGTTGCAGGTTTGCTTCCCAGTCAGGGCACATACAGGAATCAACCAATGAATGCATAAATAAGTAGAACAAACTGATGTTTCTCTCCCTTCTTCTCTCTAAAACAATCAAAAAATAAAATTTTAAAAATCTATAATAATAAAAGCATAATATGCTAATTAGACCAGATAGCCGGACGTCCTTCTGGACAACCTTCCGGAGGAAGCCGGGGCTGTGAGGGCCAAGCCCCTTGCACAAATTTCGTGCATTGGGCCTCTAGTAAATAAATAAATGCAAGCCTATAGAGCTGCTACATCGGATTCATCTTGGGAAGGTAGGAGTGGGGAGTGGAATAAAAATACAGGCATCCCAGATCCAATGCCCAGGAATTTCAGTTTGATGGTCTGGAATCTGTATTTTGAAAAGCTCCCCACAATGATTCTGAGGAATTACCAGCAGTAATATATTAATGTTAATACAGAAGGCTACTCAACAAGCACCTTTAATACATCCTCAATGAGACAGATGTTTCTTCAGGAACCAAGCAAACATGAAAACTCCCAGTATAAGGTGTCCCCACCCCAATGCTACAATCCTTACCCTGTCCACCATGAAATCAATGGCATCAACCATCACAGGGTCCACTGGGCCAGATGAAAAGTTTCCAAGAACTATTTTCTTGAGCATAAATGATGGCATCAGCCAAAAGCTGTAAAACAAAGACCTGATCATTTAAACTTCCAAGACTACACATAAATAGCAAATATTTATTCAACCCTGAAGTGTTGCTATATTAGCTACTTAGGATCTAGAGATAAAAAGACCTAGTCCCTTCTTCCAAAGCGCTCAGCATCTTGTTTTTATATACACTTTCCCAAGCTCCCAAAGAATTATGTTTAATATGACTAAACTTTTGAGGATTTAAATAATTATAAGTGACTAGTGGCCCAGTGCATGGATTTGTGCACGTTGAAAGGAAATTAATTAGAAGAACTATTTTAATATCACTATTCACCCTTTCTCTATAATAGAAGTGTCAACCAAATTCACAATCGACAATGACAGATCAAAACACATGCATGCAATTGGTGCCAGGGAGAGATTTGTATGTATTGCACATGCGCGAGTCAACTTAGCCTTTTATATATATACTAGAGGCCCGGTGCACAAAAATTTGTGCACTCGGGG